CTAGCCAGCGGCTGCTTAACACCTGGGTGAGCTCCGCTTCCTCCCTGTAAAATGAAGATAAAGATAGCGCCCACTTCCAGGATAAAGGCCAGGATTACTAATAACATACTTTGGGGTCTGGGGCTCCTATAAAATTAACGTACGCACATGGTAAAACAAAATAACCCAAAGAGGACACGGTAAAAAGTGAGTCCCCTCCTACTTCACACTTGAACTCCTCTCACCAGAGGTAACCATCATCAACATGCTTGGTATCACCGTTTGGGAATCTTCCACAAACAGAGAAGCTGTATAGGAGCCGGTTAAGGACATGGGCTGCCTGTGGCTCTGCAGCTTACTGGCTATGTGGCGCTGCCTTTTGCTCACAGACAAATGCTGCAAGACACATCCTGTTCACCTGTCATTTGGCACAAGTGCAAGCATCTCTGTGGGATAAATTCCTGGCGGAGAAATTGCTGGGTCAAACAGTAGTGCCCTTGTAATTCCAATTAATTTTTGGATGAGCAAATCCTCGCAGCAGGTGAGGGAAGGGAAAAGAGGCCCACCTAGCAGTGAGGACGAGGGGAGCTGACACGTGATGTTCTGACTCTGAGGTCCAGGGAGGGCCATGTCTGCCCCAGCAACTTGGAGGATGTGGCAGCTCCCCAGGCCCCTGGCCAGGCAGATGGAGGGTTTAATTTTATCCAGATTGTCCCCATAAAGGCTTGACAGGGAATTGGTTGATGGGATTAGAGGAGCAGGAGCCCCTAATGAGCAGCGGCTGCTTAACAACATGCCAAAGCAGACACGATTTTCCTTTGCCATCGTCCGCCATGGCAGCCTTGCCCCGGCTCTGATAGGGAACCCCTAGGTGCCAACTGGCTTTGCCTTCTTTGAATATCCTTCTAGGTCCCAGCCATCCCAGAAGAGGCAGAGAGCAAGGGGTTAAGAGCCCGGGTTTGGAGGCGAGACCAAGGTCTTTTGTCGACTGGAATTGCTGTGTGACTTTGGGCAAGTCCTTTCCCTCTCTGAGCCTCAGAGACTCATGGGACCGGAGGGCATGGAGGTGCTGAGAGGATTAAATGAAGTCTGACACAGAAAGTGCTTGGTTCCGTGCCTGGCACATGGTCAGAGCCTAATCAGTGGCAGCCCATTAGATGAAGAAGACCACCCCAGAAGGCCCTGGACAGGTGGACAGCTGTAGCCCCCCTCGTGTTTTACCGAGCATCGCAGCAGTCGCCCCAACACCTCGTGGGATTGTCCCGGATTCCCGGTCCGAGAGACGCACTGTGTGATTTTCGTGTTCAAGTCAGTTTTAAGGCTTTGCCAGGATTAATATTCGGTTTTGTGTCTGATCCAAACGCACAAATGGAGCGTGGGAACCCTCAGATGGGAAGAAGGGGAAGCGCTCAAAGGAAGTTTCCTAAGCCCCCCTCCTCCCCCACCTCTCCCCCATCATCCGATGGGGACCTTCCCCCGAGTCCCTGGGGTGGCCATGGGCAGCCCCGGGACCGCTGGGGCGCGGGGCTCGGGGGCGCGGTGGGCCTCTCCCCGCGCGAGTTCTGCCCGCGGGAGCGTTCCTTCCCCGGAGCCCCACCCTCCCTCCCTGCAAACGGGGGACAATCGGGAGAAATTGGGGGGGGCGAAGAACCGGGCGGCGCCCGCCTTTGATCCCGGGGAA